ATTGTAACTATGGCAATGAGACGATATACGATAGAATGAATGTAAAACTAATGTTCTCCCATGTAAACTGTCACATAATTCACAATAAATCATTTAAGAAAAAAAAGCAGGCTAGACACCAGTCCCTGGAAAAGGGCATCATGGTTGGTAAAATGGAGGGTCAGTGAAAAAGAGGAAGACCCCAAGAAGCAGCAGTAGAAATGGGCTCAAACATAAGAACAACTGTGAGGATGGCACAGGACCACACAGTGTTTTGTTATGCACAGGATCACAAGTCAGAATGTAACAAGAATTATATAAAATTGAAGGGCATATATAAATGTGACAAATACGACTTCTGACTCAATTGCAAAACTTTATATATAGGCATGTTGTTAGTTACAATCAATTATGCTCTGATTCATGGAAACCCCACGTTTAACAGAACAAAGTATTGTCTGGCTCTACACCATCTTCATAAACATGTTAGAACCATATAAGGCACAAATATAGGAAAAAATTAAATTGTAGGATTGCTGGTGGTATTGGTGGGGTGCCGTGGAGTAGGTTCCGACTCATAGCAACCCTGCACAGGGTTTCTGACACTATAAATCCTTACAGGAACAGAAAGCTTCATCTTTCTCCCATGGACCTGCTGGTAGTTTCAAACTGCTGATCTTGAGGTTAGTAGGCAGACTTGTAACCACAACGGTAGCAGAGCTCCTAAACTGTAGGATTAGAAGGGTGATTATGGAAGCATCTTCATTCTATCTTCAAACTGTCTAAAATGTTGAGATTTAACCTTTTAGATATAAATTCAAAAAAGAAAAGGTAAAAGTAGTTGTTGTGAAGTGTTGTCAAGTCGTTTCCGACCCATAGCAACCCTGTATAGGGTTTCTAAGGAGTGACTGGTGAATTTGAACCGCCACCCTTTCGGTTCATAATGACTTTGCAGTCTGGCGCATTAATCCACAGTGCCACACCAGGACCCAGAATACTTATGAGATTAAAAGGACAACTGGTATAAAAATGGAACTATCCTGGGAAACCAGCTACACAGTCATGCTAGGTATCAGGTTATAAAACTCTACTGACTAAAATCATTTAGCTGAGACTCATCTAGCTAGTCATGTTTCTCAAACTGATAATGCTAAATATTCTCCTCTTTCTTAAATTACTTTATATTACTTTATGATATTACTGTAAAATTTGGGAAAACCATTCTTTAATACTAAAACAAACACTATTATATTGTACAGATTATGAGGTTTACCTGAAATATTAAGATTAAAGAAATGTCTTGCTTGCAGTGGGTGCTTTCAGCTATTATACCTACTACCCAAAGCTTAAAAACGCCCTGGTGGTGCAAATGGCCAAGCACTTGGCTGCTAACCAAAAAGACTGGTGGTTTGAACCCAGCTGCTTTTAGAGAGAAAGATCTGCAATCTGCATCCTTAAAGATTACAACCTGAGACCAGAAGAACTAAATGGTGCCCGGCTACCACTAGCAACCACTTTGAAAGGGATCACATCAGACGGTCCCAGACAGAGTTGGGAGACAATGTGGGAACCAAACTCAATTATTAAAAAAAAAAAGAAAAGAAAAAGACTGGGCCTACTGACCAGAAAGGAACTGGAGGAACCTGAGATTGTCTCTAAATTACCATTCAGATCTAGAATGAAACTGATCCTTGTGGGCCCAACTTTTGGTAAGGCAGTAGATAAGTAACTAGGGGGACAGCAACACTAGTAAGGTATGCTCACCATGGATCAAGATCAAAAGGGTAACATTTACCTAAGGACCAAGTTGAGAGGAGATGGGAAGGAGGGTTGAATGGAAATAAGAACAAGAGGGAGGATACAGGAAAACTGTTGTTACATGGAGATGAAGCAAAGTGTATGGTTTGTTGAATGTAAAGCTGATGATCTCCTCTGTAAACCTTCACTCAATCACAATAATAAGTATATATATCTATACATGTATGATTAAAAAATAAAGATTACAACTAAGAAAACTCAAAACCTATGAGGTAGTTACACTCTGTCACATGGGGTCTCTTGAGTCCAAACTGACTTGATAGTACATAATAACAATACCTAAAGCTTAAGACAACCTACAGAAACTCATTTACTCTTCCCTTTGCTATTGGGTGCACCGTAGTGGAAAAGTGATAAAGATCGAAGACCACAGACTTTGGTATGGGTTGCACCTCAATGTAAAGAAATCAAAAACCCTCACCACTGGACCAATACATAACATCCATATAAATGGAGAAGAGATTGAAGTTGTCAATGACTTCATTTTGCTTGCATCAACCATCAACACTCATGGAAGCAGCAGTCAGGAAATCAAATGATGTACTGCATTGGGCAAATCTGCTGCACAAGACCTCTTTAAAGTGTTTAAGAGTAAAGATGTCAGTTTGAGGACTAAGGTGTGCCTGACGTAAGCCATGGTATTTTCAGTAACTTCATATGCATGTGAAAGTTGGATAGTGAATAAGGAAGACTGTGGAAGAATTGATACATTTGTGTTATAGTGTTGAAGAATACTCCAAGTACCATGGACTGCCAAAAGAACAAATCTGTGTTGGAAGAAACACAGCCAGAGTGCTCCTTGGAGGCCAGGATGGGCAGACTTTGTCTTTCATACTTCAGACATACTGTCAGGAGGGACCAGTCACTGGAGAAGGATATCATGTTTGGTAAAGTGGAGGGTTGTTTAAAAAGAGGAAGACCCCAAGCGAGATGGATTGGCACAGTGGAAGCATCAATGGGCACGTAGCAACAATTTTGAGGTTGGTGTAGGACTGCATAGTGTGTTGTAAATAGGGTCGCTATGAGTTGGTACCGACTTGATGCACATAACAACATCTTTTACAACTGTGAGTATTCTAGAATCTACAGCCAGTCTGGAACATCTTGTCATACTTTAGGCTCTCCTGTGCATGCTCTCCACTTTAAAGTCATAGTTCCCTCACTGAGTAACCTTATATGCTCTTAAGTGCCATCGAGTTTGTTCTGACTCACAGCAACTCTATGTAGGGTTTCCAAGGAGTATCTGGTGAATTTGAGCCACTGATCTTGAGGTTAGCAATCCAGTGCTTATCCAACAGTGCCAGAGTTTTAAGTGTAGTTTAGAGTTTTTTCTTCCTAAATTACACTGTCAAAGACATGTTAGTGTATCAAAGGCATACAAAAGATCAAAATCAAAATATTTACATCAATACTTCACTACCTGTGGTGCTGCAGAATAAGCACTGTACCACAAAAACTGTTTGAACTGCATGATCAGTGGTTGAAACTCACCAACTGCTCCTTGGAAACCCTATATAGGGTATCTGTGAGTTGGAACCGATTCAACAGCACTTAACAACACATCACCACCACCATATAATCTTTAAGTTTTGCCACTATCTCTAGAATATCCTTTATGCAAAAGGATCAACTTCACAATGTGTTGCATACAGTTGTCATGACTCTTTAGTTGTGTTGTGTATGAAGCAGGTCCTTAGTCTTTCCTTGACTTCCATTGCTTCGATGCTTTTGAAGATCACATATAAGTATTTTTAAAGAACATCCCACAACTAAGATTTGTCTGATTCAGAATCCCTTAATGACTAGAGTCAAGTCATGCATCAAAAAAGTGATGCTGTGTTCTTCACATTGTATCTGATTGAGTGGTGCATTATTTTATTAAGTCTCGTTAGGTGCTCTGGTAGCGTAGTAGTTATGAATCAGGCTGGGAACCTTAAGGTCAGCAGTTCGAAACTACCAGCTGTTTCACAGGAGAAAGATGAGGCTTTCTGCTCCCGTAAAGATTTACAGCCTCGGAAACCCTGTATTGGATCACTATGAGTCGGTTCTGACTCCACAGCACATCACCACTACCACCACCACTGACAATGTTCGCTGTGATTACTAATAGGGAGTCCATCAAGATGCTCCACTATAAAGTGACTTTTTCTTCATCTTCAATGAATACTTTTATGGATAGTTACTTTGAAACTGTATTCTGTAGATATTCAATTTATTTATTTATTATATCTATAGGCTGCTAAAGGAGCTCTGGTAGTGTAGTGGTTACGAATCGGGCTGCGAACCTTAAGGTCAGCAGTTCGAAACTACCAGCCGCTCCG